GCGGAGGGGGCCCAGCCTGGGACCCTCTGGGCTGCTGTGGCTGCTCTGTCCCCACAGACCCCACCCTCCAAGCCAGCCCACCTCTGCCTTCATGATATCCCAGATACTGTGTGTAAATAATCTGCTGTAAGCTTTCTTATCTGTTTTTGTAACAAGCAAAGAGAATCTGGTAAATATTTGTATATTCCCAAGGGGCCGGGTGCTTTCCTGCCCTGCCCGAGCACGGATGAAGTTCTGCTGGGTGCTGGTGACTGGCCAATTATGTGCAGCTGACTGTCTCGGCCAAACCACTGATCTTCCCCTGGAGGCTCCCGGCCTGCCCGCCTGAGCCCCCGCTGCCGGTCTGGGGCCATGGAGCGCAGATGCTGTCTTGTTATGTACATGGGGACTATTTTTTAAAACATTTTTTTTTAGAGTTTCTATTTTTTTTTTTTTTTTTCCTAGTAGTCTCCCTTTCCTAACCTTCTGTTTTTAAAAGGCAAAGGTAAATCGGTCCCCATTTGCGGCATGATACCAGATTTTGGGCCTGGCCTTCTCTGGTTTCTCCCACCTGGGTGTTGGTCAGCGAGGTCGGGGGAGGCCCACCCCCAGCCCTGCCGGCGCTCTCCGGGCCCAGCTCCCAGTCAGTGGTGGCCATGATGCGGTACAAGGCATCCCTTCTTCCCACCATCTACGGGTGTTCTCAATAAACAGTGTACAGTCGTTTGGGCCCAGAGCCCCATGTGTTCCTTGGCTTCATTATCTGTAACTTTCTCCCCTGAGGGATGGGCTGAGATAGGCCAGCCAGGGGTGAAACCCATCATGAAGGGTACTTAAGAATTTAGCTTCAGAAATTGGTTCTGTGGTCTGACTTTATGATTAGTTTTTATTATTATTATTATTATTATTATTATTATTATTAGGGAGAGAGGAGGTAGAGGGAAGAAAGAGAAACAGACAAATATCCATTTGTTGTTCCACTTATGTATGCATTCATTGGTTGATTCTTGATTGTGCCCAGACCAGGGATTGAACCCAATACTTTGGCCTATTGGGACAATGCTCTTAACTGAGCTACTGAGCCAGGGAATATGACTAGTCTTATTAGAGTTAGAAAATACCTAATCATTGTTCTAGTTCAGCTTCCCTCTCTAATAGCCAACTGTTCATACTCTATGTTAGTCCCTCTTATGGTTGATGTTTCTATCTCCCTCTCCCTCTGAAACAAAAATTAAAAAAAAAATAAAAATCAACCGATACATTGCAGGACAGCTAGGTTCCCTGGTTGCTTCCCTTCCATGATTGTGACTCCCTTACTGCCCTCCCCACCATGGTATTGCCACCTTTGAGAACAAGTGTCCTTTAACGGTGCTGAGAACTCGGGCAATTGATGTCTCCTCTGCTGGAAGTCCCACTGCCTACAGGGTGTCAGCCCTCATCTATTCTGGAGGGGCAACCTGCTTGGGTCCCCTCCCTGCAGCAGTTTCTGTTATAATACCGTGTTTCCCCAAAAATAAGACATCCTCCGAAAATAAGACCCAGTGCATGGAAAGATAAGAGATCCTCTGAAAAGAAGACCTAGCACCACTTTGGGAGAAAAAATTAATATAAGACACTGTCTTATTTTCGGGGAAATAGGGTACTTGCTTTCACTGTTTTTTTTGTTCATGAACTCAATCTTCAATTTCTCAAGACAAGGAACTTGGAACTGAACAGAAATTTTGGATAATTATCTGTAGGTTCCACTGAGAGTCTATAGCACACTAGATTCTTGGGTTTATATGAGACATGCTCCTAGACTTTAAAAATAAAATATATTTTTATTGATTTCAGAGAGGGATAGAGAGAGTGGAGAGAGAGAGAGAGAGAGAGAGAGAGAGAGAGAGAGAGAGGGAGGCAGGCTCTGGGTTTTTTTCCTGTAATGAGTCTGATAACTTTTAAAGTAGGGCAGGCTGCCTCTTGGATCTTTCTAAAGGCTCTCTTCAGTAAGTCATCATGTGCTGGTAACTGGAGTGCTGAGATGAGGAAACCCAGCTTCTATAGGGAGTATTTTGAAGACCTGCCCTTGGAAGTGGTTCACATCAGATGGTCTGTGTAATTAGGGCCCCAAGAAAATTATTCTAATTGCTATCACAGCTGTTAAATTTTTGTTAAAAATATATTTCATATGTGGACTTGAAACTTACCTTGTACCCCAAATGACTTATTTCTAAGGATACATAAATAGGGTTTAAAAAACACATACAAGTAAAACAAAAATTGGACTGAAACAAAGTCAGAAATGAAACACACTTCAACCTTCATTCTTACTAGGGAGTCATACTGTGTGGTGTTTTGCATCCAAAACATCTTAAATTTACGGAGGTGGAATGGGTGTTAATTCCAAGGTCATGAAACCCCAGTACAAGAAAATATTTTTTAGCACTGTCAAGTTATTGACAATTTTTTAAAGTTATTTTTTGTCCGTTTATATCATCATTTAATACAAAAGTATCATTTCTCCCTCACCGGAAACCCCTTGTGTTTTGTGTTCTGAAGAACATTTCATGTGTAAACAAGTATATTTTTGCCCGATACCTTGAAGGAGTTGGTACTCGTTATCTTTTTGACAACCGAAAGTTTTTGAGATTTGGAAATTACCGTCTTGAAAGTGTACATAGAGACCACGCCTCCTGCTCAGCGCGGCCAAAATGGGATTTGAAACGTGTGCAAGTGGCGGAGACTTCCTCGCCGGGAGCTGGGCCGGAATTGAACCACCAGCTGTTCCGAGTAAAAATTTCTACGTCACGCAAAGCGGTTGCGGCCCCGCCCACCACCGGAAATGGCTGAGCCAAGGGGTGGAGCCAGGCTCACCGTGCTTCCGGTCATTCTGCTGGGGTCAAAGCGATCCCGGAACTAGAACCTCACTCCGGAAGTGGCTTTCAGGGTGGGGAGCGAGCGGAGCTGCGGTCGTAATGAGGGAACCTAGGAAGTCTGGCGGTGAAGACACACGAGGGTGGCCCGGAAGCGCTAAGCTCCGCAGGACTCGGGCCGCCGAAACCCTGCACATTTCCGCCTTCCAGTGTAGGCGGGCACCGCACATCTTCCGCCGGAGGTGCGAGCCCACGCAGCAGGTTTGTAATAGTTGCTTTTGGGCTATCGAATAGCTATGAATTTATTAAATCTTAAATCTGACCTAATTTTGCCAAACGTGTGGCAGACATTCCCCATTATCTTTTGGCTGCAGTTCCGAGGTTTGTATGAAAATGTAAAGCATTTATTAGGCCAGAAACAATTCCAGCTTGCAGATGTAGTCCAGTCCCTAGTCTTGTCTTTCCTGAAGGCATGCTTCTTCTTCCCTCAGCTTGGACTACTTTACCATTAACTGAATCACACCAAGATTTCTGGTCTGCTCCCATAATTCAATTATAATCAAGTCAACAACAAATGCTTTACATTTGACTTACTCCCCATGATCCTCAAGTAGATGCCTTCAACTAAATTTTAAAGAAAGTTGTAGTCACACAGCTGTTAAGTTTGGACCTCTATGTCAGACTCTATAAATTTTTATACCTTCAGTGTCAGTAAGGATTCAAACATTTAATCTTGTAATCTTCTAAAACCCTTACCAGAGTATACTTTCACCATTGATTTTTAGTGTAAGGGAGGAAAAACATCAATGTGAGACAGTTTGGTTGCCTCTTGCACACTCCCCACCCAAATGGAGCAGGGGATCAAACCCAGGTACTCAGGCTGATATTCTAACCACTATACCACACAAGCAAGTTATCTGCTGACCTGACCACCTATTTTAGATTCATGGCCTTAGCTTCCATAGGTTCTCAGGAAGCCACTAAGGGAAAACCCATCACTTCTTAAACACTGATAAGCAAAATGCATATCCAAATGGTCCAATTTAAAAAAGCAAACAAACAAAAAAAACCCCACCCAAAATGGTTTAGCTTGTACAGCTGAATAAAGCCCGACACCTTTAACTCCCATTAATTCCATCAAGTCTTGAAGGGTTCCTTATATCAGTGGTTGGCAAACTGTGGCTCTTTGGCCCCTTGAGTGTCTTGGCCCTCCACAAAATACCATGGCCTGGACGGGTCTATTTTGAAGAAGTGGCATTAGAAGTTCAAGTTTGAAACCTGTGGTTTCCAGCCCCTTTATGATCCCAAAACAAACCTAGTAGCTGAATCTTAATAGTCTTAAATGCTATCTTAACTTAATCTGTCCAGGATTCTAAACTGCAAGTTTTATTTTGGGTCATCATTTTAAAATGTTTGAAAGAACTCTGAACACAAGAGCGAATTATAATTTATCCCTGGGATCAAGGACAGTTTTACAAGATAAACAAATCCCAGTTTCTGGCCTTTAGGATAACCCACTTTTCTACTAGATGTACATCAGTCTAGAAGAAAAATGGTTAGGTTTTCATGATAGGTATATTTCTTTGAACATGAAGCCTTCTATGCACAGGGACCCATACATCCTTACAGCTGCTTTCTATAATACAAGCCAGTTCGATATGAAAACCCCTGGTATGTTTAAAATTCAGATTGCTGGAGCCCATCTCAAGATTTTGGTTATGACTAGAATAGTCCAAAGTCCAACATGAGGGAGCCCAGTGAAAAAAAACCTTGGGCTCAGGAATTATCTCCCTAGTTATAACCTCAGTCCTATCACTCCTTTTTCCCTTTCTGTAGACCATGCCCCATCAGTACTGAGTCCTTTTGAGCCCCCATGGAACCACTGGAACAGTTAAGGACACTCATTCTTCCTTCACTCATTGTGAATTGAGTATACAGACCTTTCAACTATTTAATACTTATCTACACACGTTACCGGCAGGTATCATTCTCACTTTATAAATGAAAAGTTTAAGTGCAGTATTGGTCCCAAGGCCTCTTTCTTTCTCAGGGAAGTTTGCAGAAGAACCCAGGCCTTGATACCCTAACTCCTAGAACCTGTTAGGGAGGTTTTGCAATTACAAGTAGGGAAATACAGATGCCACAGGACCTACACTCAGACCAAAAGACAAAGGTACTTGGACATTTTAATGGAACTTCCCTCCATGTAGCTTCAAGCTACCAGGACACAGGCCCCACCAACACCCTTAATCTTCTCCTCGGCTCTTCTGCTGAAGAACTTGGCCTTCACAATGACAGGCTGCTTTGGGAGCTTTCCCTTCCCCAGAACTTTGTAGTAGCCCTAGGATAGAGAAAAGGGTTATAACACACTCTCCTATGGCAGGTATTAACTTCCTAATGGGTATGAGGAAAGGTGACAGACAACCCATTCCACCTAGGAGCTGGGAAGCCTATGTTTCTGATCTGGGCACTGCCTGGGGGCACTGGTGGCCCTCAGTCAGTGAATCAAGACCAGCAGATTCTCTCCGAGAATTCTAGCACACCAGGACTATAGCTGTCAAGATGTGACTCTAATCTCGGGCAAAGCCAAACACCCCCCCTTTTTCCACTCAATTACCATCTAATAAGCAAAAAAGGAAAACCACACCCCCAGCAATGGTCCAGAAGTCTTGACCATCAAATTGTTCATGGTATGGTAAACAGACTGGGAAGGGGAATTTAATACTTAACTGAAAGGCTTAGACTACTTCTATACCCATGGGAGGTTAAGACTTAGATATACAAAAATGCTTGGGTGGGATTTTTTGGGGGAAAGGGAAGGATAGCTCTTCAGATAATATAGGGCCTTAAATCATAATTAAAGCATATACGGATTTTATTCTGTAGGGAACATGAAAGATCAATAGTGATGCCTAATGTAGACCTGGGTAAAATAAACCAGAGCCAGTTGAGCTAAGATATTGCCAGTAACTTTAGGTGAGAATTGCAAACTTGTACAAACCAGGACAATAACAGTAGAAATGAGATTAAAGTACTTGAAAGAATGAAGAGTAGAAGGAATTACTCTTCAAATATTTTGTTAGTCACAATTGAACTGGAGTTCAATTCTGGTCCGAGAATTACCTCTGGAAATTCTGCCCAAAGGTAGAACTGTCTAGTAAGGAATCGGGTATGGGGCTCAGGTGGGAGAGCTAGTAAATTAGGTTACCCAAGAGTTGAGAGGTAAGGACCTATATAAGGCAAATATTAATTTACTCACCGATCGCACCACATCAATGATGGGAGCAACTCCAGTCTTGCTTTTGGCAGCATTTACCCGCGTCTGCTCACTGACCAGGGTCCACAGTTTATCAAGGTTGACAGTTGGGCAGAAGCTCTGGTTCCTCTTTAAGTGGAAATGCCTCATACCAACTTTCCCAAAGTAACCTGGGTGACTGGGAAGAGAAAACAACCACTTTCACAACATCAATTAAGAAGCTATGTTTATCTTTATAATCCATCTCCCCCATTACAGTGTAAATTGTTAATGGTTGTAGAATAAGGTGATCCCGATTTTAAGATTCTTTCCAAAAAATCAGGACTTGAAAAAAAAAAAAAAAAAAAAAAAACCCCGCCGTGGGACGCGGGACTGATTGTTAAAAATCGAAACTGTCCCGCCAAAAGCGGGACGTCTGGTCACCTTAGTGTAGAACCATGCCTTAACAGATATTCCACTCCAGCCATTTTTTAATAAAACCGATCTTTCACTGAATAGAAACCCACTAATCAAATAGTTGAAAATACCACCCCCTAATTTGAGGGCATCCGTGAATCTAACAGATGTACAGGTCAATCTGGTGCATGTCACTAGCCTGGTGACTGACTATGCCATTGGGGGACCACAGCCAGTGAATAAGGGTAGCAGTTGCTCTTCGAGGACTCTAGCACACTAAGGCAATAGCAAATACCCAAGCGTGACTCTAGCCTCGATGACAAATTTCTCAGTTCACATGTGTTACCTTGGTAAAAGCCAACAACAGGCAAGGTTTGTGCTGGTTAAGAGGCTCGCTTCCCATTTAAGATCTTTGGAGCCAGCCTCCCCTAGTTCCCACTCCCACCCCCACCCTTAACTCCAAACTGTCAGTAAAGTAGTCCAAGAAACACTCACTATTTGTCGAAGTTGATCCTGTGATGATGCAAGCCACCAGCATTACCGCGGCCCCCCGGGTGCTTCCTGTGCTTGCCTGGAGGATTACAGAGTCTCATGGCTAACAGCCTCCCACAGGCCTCTGCCGTTCCCAATCTACAATACCCCTCTCAGCATTGCTATTCCTCCAAGACTCCGACTGAAACATCTCTGCGCAGCACTACCACAGTACTCAGGCCTTCAGCCAGGGCTGTGCTCCGTTCAATTCCCACTCCCCCTGTCCCCCACCGATGATATTCTCTGCAAGAGAAACACTAAAGGATTCTCAAATAGGTCAGGCTCTATCCGGCCCGGCTGCACAAAGCTCCTACTAACCCACTTCTGAGCTACCGTATTGACGAGCTAAGTTCCAGGCAGGGAGAGCCCAAGGCCGACCAGGATGGGATGCTGGTACTCACCGATGCGGCCGTGGCCGTGGCTCACGTGGCCCCGAAGTTTTCGGGTCTTCCTGAGTCTGGATGGCTGTGTGGGAAAAGGTGCTTGAGATAAGGCCTAAGAAACGCGCGGGGCAGAGGCGACGCTGGCCGGGTTGCGAGGGGCCCGTAGGCCTGGAGATCAGGGATCTATCTGTCTAGCGCCGCTCTCAGGAAAGCCGAGCGGGCCATGCGGCCTCCTCCGGGCGGCGCCCCGGCGCCCGGGCCCGCCGGCCTCAGAGCCCAGCCCCAGGCCGAACACGCGGCCGGGGATCCGGGCCCACGCCGGCCCCCTGCCCTGCGGCCGGCCATGCGCGACCAGGAGGAGCCGGCTGAGGCCGAGGGCAGGTGGCTGGGGTGCAAAGCGAACGGAGATCGCGGTGTGTGCCAGCATGGAAGGGGAGGCGAGACAAGAATAACCTACCATGTCGGTGGCCGAGCTGCAAGAGGGAGGCCTTTGGGAAGTCTCGCGAGGTATGGGACGCGGGGGCGGAGCCAATGTCGTCACTTCCGCCCGGAGAGGGCGGGACTAGGGCGCGTTCGGGCTTCGTCGTCCCGTAGGGGGTCTCCGCAGTCTTTATGCTGGTTTGGCCGCCGAGAACCGTTCTCCGTGCAGCCCGCCCTTTGCTCGGGCTCGAAGGCCGAGAGTTGTCCCGGAATCAGACTTGGGGCGCTGTGGGCCGGGCCCTTTTCCTGACGCCATGGCCCAGGAGCCGTGCTGGGCCGCCGCACCTCGGCTCCTCGTCAAACCCCGAAGCCGCGAGCGCCACCGCGCGCCTCGCCCTGATCTTAGAGGCCTGCTCCGCCCCGCGTTAGCGATTGCTTCCTCTGCTTCCCGCCCCGGCCGGCCGCGGGGAGGAGCCTTGAGGCCCTATATTTACGGACTCTCAGCGTGTCCAGCCAACGTCTCGCCCTACTGCCTTGGGAGGCTTTTCCTGAATGTCTCTACCATCCCCCGCTTAGTGAACGCGCGTGGGCCTTCCTTTTCCCTTTGCCTTTGTGCTATAATCTAAGGCTTTCTCACTTTGAACCTGCTATACTTCAGGGACCTACATGCCTGGTTGCTTTACAGTCTCTTTTTATCCAGGCATTGTAAATTTTCTTACCACCCACATGTAAATTTTCTCCAGTACTGGACACGCCGGTGACAATCTCCTCCTCCCCCCAACTCCCCATATACAGACACCCTTACCTCCCTGCCTTGGATCAGAGAACTCCTGCTCATCCTATCTTGTGAAACTTCTTTGACTTATTCATAGTTGCTCACTTAACTCTACTTGTGCCACCACAAAATCTAGTCCATAGCTCTTACATAATTGTTGGTCCACTTTTGTCGTCCATACTAGGCCAAATTTCTTAAAGCCTCGAGGATTATTTTTTATCCATGCACTCCCAGTTCCTGGCATGTAGTACATGTTCAACAAATGGTTAAGAGAATGATTACACTTATCTTCACTGCCACCATATTCTTGTGCCACTGCCTTCATTCATTAAGGCCCTCATCATAGCTGGTATCTTGAGTTCAGCAGCCTTCTGTAATCACCCTGCCTGCATTCTAACTCTCCTCCACTCCCTCCATCCCTAATACCTCTGCCAAGTTAATCTTCGAAAACATTACTTTCTTCCTATCACTTACTTGATGAAAAAGGTCAGTATCTCTTATCACCAACTGAATCCAGCGGTACCTTCCCAGCCTTATATCAGCTTCTCCCGGACAAGCTTTTTACTGTAGCCAAACTTGGTACTTCTCTTCTGCCTTTTTGCTTGTGCCATTTCTCAAGCTTGTAGTGCTCATACTCTTCCTGAACATGTATCCTGAATCTTCTTTAACCTTAGGGCCCACCTTGTAATCTGCTTCTTCTTGGAACATTCCGGTCCACAGTGATAATAGCCAAATACATATTGCAGTTTACAAAATGCATCTGTCTGAGAAATCAACTCTGTCAGTCCCATTTTATGAATGAGAAAATTGAGGCACAGGAAGTTGAGTGACTTGCCAGAGGCTGGGAGCTGCTAATATAGTTTAGCCCTCAGTCTCTCCTGCCCTCCTCCCCTCTCCCCAATTCAGTGACCATACCTATCTGACCTCACAGCATTATGGTCTTCATCACTCCTTCAGTCCTTAACCACACAGGGCCTATGACCAGCAGAAAGAGGGGCCTTGAGGATGCAGGGCAAGGTCCAAGATGAGATCGTCTCTATTTGACATCAAAACTGGCCAGTAAAAACAAAAACAAAAACAAAGACAAAACAAAAAAAAAACTGGCCAGTAAGTGGATAAGGGATGAGCTGAGCTAACTGGAAACTACCCTGGACTGATGCTCTGTGAATTAAGGTAAGCTAGGTAGAGCTTTGGGAATGAAAGGTGTCCTGTAGCATGGACCTAGACTGTCCAGAGGTGGAGGTAGGGCTCTGGGTGATGGGACACTGCTTCTGGACAGTTTTTCCAGGTTCCTTGGTTGTAGAGGAGCCACATCCTGTCAGGCTACCTGACTGAACAGACGGCCTCTCTGAGTGGGCCAACACCATGTTGGGTTATTTGCTCACCTAACATTCTTTTCATTGGTTTTCTCTCCAGGGTAGGGGGTGCCCTGGGTGGTTATCTGGCTCATGTTTTCAGCCAACTTCCTCTCCTTTACAAGACAGTCAGGTAGCTTCAACAAAAGGCTCACATAGGGCTGTCAATGTGGGTCAGTTTCCCTAGGTTGACCAGCCCTGGGAGAGCAAACAAAGCTGAGTTCTATTGTCTTTATAATTGAATGACCTTCAGACATTAGGCATTAAGTGACCTATCCCTCCCTGTCAGGCACACTGGCCACGACTGCTGAGAGATGTCCTCTGTGACATCTGTTCTGAACTAGAGCATGACATTGTGACATGTCAGGCATCTGGGCTTTCCCAGAGAGTCAGGGCCTTAGAAAATATCTGTGAAAGATGAGCAGGAAGGAGATGATGCAAGGCAGCAATCTGGTGAGGCAGGTAAAAGTGGTACTCACCTTTTTGCTACACTACTACCTCTCTCCAGAGGGGCTTGTGAGCACACTGCCACTCTGAAGAGAGCTCTGGTGATTTCTCTCTCCTCTCCTCTCTGGATTCCTGAGTATATCAGCAATCCTTCAGGCAACAGCAACAGCATGAATGGATGCAGCCTTGATTTTTGGCTCTTCATCTTTAGATTTGGACATTTGGGAATATTATATTGCTTTCCTTCCTCAACTAGAGGATTGTTAATTTAAGATGAGAAGAGTCAGATTTCTGTTCTAAGTGAGAAGCAGAGCAAAACTTAGAAATCCAAATTGGTTTCAGAAACAGCTTAAAAATTTTTAGGTAATAGAAAAGACAGTAAAACATTTAAAAAAATTTTTTGGAGGAAAAAATATAAGTATAAACATCTCAAATCATAATACGCTACAATGCTGTTTTCATGACTATTACCTTTTAGCTCTCATCTACATGGAGATGTAGCTATCTGCAAAGCTGATGATCACAGTAAAGAAATCTTTTTGCAATCTACTTTTCATGTAATTCTGTGATATTTTTCTGTCTCACTACCCAGTCTTCATGATTTTTAAAAATTTTTTATTTTAGACAGGAAGTGGGAGAGAGAGAGAAAGAAGCATGGATGTGAGAGAGAAACATCAATAGGTTGCCTCCCGTACATTCCCTAATTGGGAATCGAACCCCAACATAGGTATGTGTCCTGACTAGGAACCAAAACCACAACCTTTTGGTGTACAGGATGATTCAACCATCTAGGCTACCTACCCAGGGCTATGATTATTATTTTTAACAGCTGAAGAGTGATTTGTCTTTAGCAATACTATAATTCACTAAGCCATTTTCTCATGTATTTTGTTTTATTTGTGTATATATACTTTTTTTCTCCTATTGAATAACTTGTCCTGGATAAATCCCTAGGGTGAGATTGCTGGATTATAGGGCATGAACATTTTTATGATTCATTTTATGTTGCTATATATTTTTTTCCAAATGGATCATACCAATTTATGCAGTTGACATGTATAGTTTCCAATTTCAACTACACCAGGCTCATGGGGTTTTTCTTTTTCTTTTATCAGTAGTTTTTGATAAATAGCAATATGGCATCTGAGGGAAAATCCATAGGGACACAAGGTTTCCTTCAGCACAAAGTAAAAATAATCTAATTTGAGGATTAGGAATTTATGGGAGTCTTAACTTTCTGTGTTGTATAGGTTTTTAAAAATCTCATTGTACTACATGGCAAGTGCATTCTTAGAAGCTTTGCTGGAAGATAGAATGGAAAACCCTGCTGCCATTAAACTCCGAATAGCAGAATATGAAGAGAAGAATTCTAGGATCTTTTAGAGCAGTTCCCCCACTCGCACAACAAAGAGGAGCTTAAATAGTTGGGTGTTCATTTAGTTTCAGATGGTAAAATTAGTGAAAAGAAACGTAGGTTTATTTCCTGCCTCTGGTTTTAGTAGCTGAATGACATTGAACAAATAGTATATTCTCTTTGAATCTTAGCTTTCTTGTCGGTATAATGAAAAATGACTGAGATTCATTCGTTCATTTTAGAAACACTTATTGAGTGCTTGCTGTGTTCAGGCACTATATAGACTGGTATAAGCCAAGCAGTGAGGGGCCGGTACAGTGGTAAACAAGAAAGACGAAATCCTGCTTTAGGATTGTGTCTAAAACAGACAGGAAACAAGTAGAGAAATAAATAATATATGACATTCAACACAGCCTAGCATAGCATGGGTATTCTCTCATTACCTAGTGTTTCTCTCTCCCATTTTAATGATAATTTATTCTGTTCTACCCATGCAAACGAGCTTTGAAATTCTTACTCCCCACGTGTCATGGAATGACTTGTTCTTTCAATGCTTGGCAAAGTTAGAGAAACTGGTAACATTTCCCTTCTCGCAGATCCCTGAGCGTGGGCTGTTAAAAGGAGGTGGTTGGTGAGCAAGCTAATCTTCTATGTGAGGTTTCCCATCCTTCCAACTTGTTGTTTCATTTAGTCCAGATTTCTCTGTGACTTAAAGCAGAGGGCGCAAGCTAATTGAGAGTATATTTTGTTTGATTCATGCTGTTTTCTTAAATTTTTAAACTAAATTAGTTGCCAGTGTTTTAAAATTTAACTTATTGAGTGATTTTAGAGAGAGGGAGAGAGAAAGTAACATCCAAATACCCTATGATATTTCTTTTTCCATTGATTTTTTTTTTTTTTTTTTAAGAGAGAATAGTAGAGAAGAAGGGAGGGAGAGCGAGCGAGAAAACATCCATGCAAGAGAGACATCAATTGGTTGCCTCCCACAGGTGCCCCAAACTGGGCCAGGATGGAACCTGAAACCTAGGTACGTGCCGTTGTACTGGTGGTAATCCAACCTGTGACCCCTCCGTGTATAGTCCTACATTCTACCCATTGAGCCAAACCAGAGAGTATCATTTTTTTTTAAAATCAATCTTTATTGTTCATATTATTACAAAGGTTCCTCATTTCTTCCCCCCCCCCAACCAGGTTCTCAC